AACAGTACAATACTACTACCTTTATTTATAGACATATATCTTACTTTAACAGCTTTATCCTTCCCAGTTTTACATGTTGCATGATAGACATTAGCTTCCTTGCCTGTACTAATACATCCATTAACCTGCTCAATGATTTGTCGATTCAGCATCTTAAAGAGGATCACTCTGGTGCGGGGATCAAGTACTTGTTCCACAGTTGCACGTTCTTTTTTATCTTTAACTCTCATTCTGAAAACGATACAGATGTTGTAATTCTGCTTTTAAATAAATATCACAAAATCAAATGATTAATCCGTTGAATGTGAAAAGGATTGTTTACATTTACTGCATACAGTACAGTGGAACATGTATATTAATTAAACAGAGTAAGAAAAAACATGTATATTAAGCGTATGCAGTATAAGTGTATCAAAATATGAGTATGTATATTATTAATGATTCCAGATATTAAAGTATTCAGTGTTAGAGATTTTATATAATATATACACTTAGTACAATGGGTGATAAATATTAAGAAAATGTTGTATTAGAGATTCTAAGTAATAAACGTGTTTAATATTTAATCATAAAATATTTAACACACTGTAGCCATAATACTCAGAGCCATCTAAACAAAAATATTGTTTGTTGAATTTCACCCAAAACTACTCGAGATCTAGCTATCCCTAATTTTAAAGTGAAAGACTATAGAAAAGGCACCTTGTAAAAACCATCCACTGCCAACTCTTGGGCTACTTTTTACCAACATAAAGTGGGATTTATCATGATGTTATAACACCTTCACAGCTGAAAGGTTGAGCATGTTTAATGAGAGGATTTGAACACGACGCAAACCGCAGACTGATAATCGAGCACCCTAGCCACCAGGCCACACAAGGCTCTCAGCCAACAATAAATGTAATGAAAGAAGATTTTAAACTTCATTGTCAAAGAACATCCTTTTAAGACTAGAGAGAAATGATTTTTTTTTCATTGATGAGAACCCACCTTTCTGTTTCACATTTTCTGTAAGCTTCAGTGAGAGTGTTTATGGCCGATGAAGGGAGGGATGGTCCTTCGTATCTTTCTATTAGAAAATACAAAAGTATGATATCACGCAAAATTTATCGTAATGGAGAACCAATTTAAACACTTATTCTCAAAATAAAATTTCCATCATAAAAGGTTTTGTTGGCTTTAAAAAAAACAATAAATTTTAAGATTTCCACAGACTGTTTCAGCGATGTGCTATTAACCAGCGATTGGAAAAATTTATCTTTTCTTACACGTTTTTATTACAGGAAATTTAAGACAAGGCACACTGCCTTTGAATTACATGTAATGTTACATGAACATTAATTAATATAGCTGTTTTGAAAGAAAATGTTTTAATTTTTATATTAGCATGTTCAGTCCAAAAAATAATTATCCATACACAGACTTGTTAGTTGGGACAAATTTATAAAACTTCTAAATTGGTTCAAATATCTATGTACGATTGAAATACACAATTTTATCTATTGACAAAACACAGTATCAAGTTACTTCTAGTTCTGGTACCGATATCTTGCTACCGAGCAGACATGCAACAAAAGGGGGGTGGGGTGGGGCTCACATTCAATCCACTAATTTCTAAGCGATATTTTACAGTTGATAAAAGTCTTCTGCATGTTTATAATAATTGTTACTGAATAAATAACAAACCAGTAAGTGTATTTCTCATTGTTTTAAAGTAATTTAGATTATAAATAAATATTCAGCTATTTAAATATGGTTTTATACGTAAGTATTTTTTGTACAAGTTTATGGAAATAAGCCCCCCCACTCACTGCAAGTATCGTTATCAAATATAAAAAGCAACATAAATTATAAAGTATTTAGATATTTGAGATCACAATTATGGAAGGATTTAAGAATTTTTTATTACAAAAAATATTGTACGTTTCAATATCGTTCAATCAGAACGTGATTTTTTGATTTTTTTTAATTTTGGGGAAAAAAAATCAGAATTAAAATAGTATTACTTACCAACATTAATTTTGTTCATATATTTATGTAAAAGTTTCTCATTAGGCTGAAACATCATTGTCTTGTTATTCCCACTTTGTTGATTTGGATTTGCCATCATCTAAAGAAAAAAAGAGGGAATCCTCAATAGCCACGGCTGTAATTAGATCTCAAATTGGATCGAGAGATGGAACTATGAGCTAAAAGTTTGTACTTGCAATAAAACTCGGAGCCATTCTACAAGCCCTTAAAGAATATTTAAAAAGTATAAATATAAATACATGGCAAGCAATCAATTTTCTATAAATAATAATTATAATAAATGTACGCCTTGTTAACAAGCAAAAAATATAGAGAAACCTATTTTTAAATATAACGAAAGTCCATTAAGTTAAATATCATTGTATAAATATAGTTTCGTTCGTTATGGTTCACCGTAACATGCAAAGAAACTAAAACCTAAAGTTAAATTTTTTACCTGTCCAAGATGTGATCCTTGTTTCTTGGTATTACTGTGCTTGATCATGCCTGTAAACCAATCAAAGAAATCAAAAATCTGACAATTTTGTCAGAACGGGAAGGAAGAACATTAAAACAGACCACGTTTCTGATTATAAAATAATTATTTTTCATATAAAAAAAAAGAATTAGCTTAAAATATGAGTGGCATATTAATTAATTTGTTTGTAGTTAAGCACAAAATTAGTCAATGGGCTATCAGTGCTGTGCCCACCACAGGTATCGAAACCCAGTTTTTAGTGTTATGCATCTACTGGCTTATCGCTGCACCATGGGGGACCAGTAATTAATAAAGAATATCAGTGATAATCGTCCTCTTCTTTTTAAAGAAGTCACCTTTTACTACACCACAGAACTCAAACCATTCTCCTTTGACAATTTATAAAACAAAAAGCAGAAATTTACTGCTCCAATTCTTTCAACATCAGAAAGTAAAATGACACAATAAAGTTTTTATATGAACAGACTTACTTTTAGCCTTAGAAATGCGTTTTTTTTTAAAAAAAAACAAAAAACATATTAAATGTAATTTCAAAAAGAATTTTACAGATTATCAATTGTAGCAATACAACTTTTAATACAAGCAATATTTAACTATGTTCTTTTACATTTAACTTGGTACTGGGTGGGGGGTGAGAGAACCCACACTAACAAGAGCTCGTTGTTTATTAGTGTTCATTGCTCTTGCTAGTCTTACATCATTTATTTTGAAACATAATATCACGTGTCCCGCTGTTAACTGTTTGTTTTGTTGTAGTTCAAGTAAGTTATGAAAGTGTTATCAAATATTTGTGTAAATCTGTATGTCGTCTCTTTTTCGTGACTCAACTTTCAGAACTTGTCGGGAAGTATACACCCAAGCCCGGGAGTTGTGAACCTCCAGTTATTACTGGGTCTAACTTCTGTGCTCCGACGGTTAATCGTGAGACACCACACCGGCATTTGTTTACGCCTACCTATGAAAGCAGCCAATAAGATATCAGCACTGATGCCCTATGAGAGAGCTATGATCATATGCATACATTCATGAGACACCACACCGGCATTTGTTTACACCTACCTATGAAAGCAGCCAATAAGATATCAGCACTGATGCCCTATGAGAGAGCTATGATCATATGCATACATAATAACTTAAGTCATTTCCAGTGAAACTAACTTTTTACTCAGATTGGCTAAAACATTTCAGAGCAAGTTGGAAACCAATTATTTATTACTATCTGTTAATCCTCCTTTCTCGTTCTACAGCTATTAAAATATTAACTGTTTCCGAAGCCATACCAGAGCAATTATGTTCTTCCCATTCATCAAATGCCTCTTCATCACTATACTCTCCCTCACTCACATCATCATCATCATCTTGGATATCTAAGTTTTCGACTTTATCGTGAAATAAAGGAAATGTCAATTTGTCAAACATTTAAAAAAAATCACAAATCACTTATAAAAAGATTTTTTTCATAATATAAATGTTGAAATGTGTATTGGTTGAAATTAATTTTTTTAGTCTACAAGTAAGAAATTGCTTGTTTTGAACCTATAAAGGTTTTTACTTAATTCTAGTAAGCTACTACTATATCAATACAATTATAATGAACCTCAGTTGCCTGAACAACCAGTAACACAATAAAATCATCCGAGTAGAAAAACTATTGCTAAAAGTTATAAAAAACTAATGATTTAACCAAAAGCTTACACGTTTTCCAGTAATAGTGAATAATTCTACTATGAGGTTAAAAAATTCACTCACTTTGAATATCTGAAGTAGATGTATCCTTCTTTTGAAATGTGGCCGATCTTTAATGAAATTAAAAATAATTACAAAATACTCATCCCTAACTTCAATCTTCTGAATTGGATAAATTTAAAAAAACCTTGGTACCTAACTTGGTCTGATTTATAAATTACGAGCTGAAATACCCGTCAACTGACAGGGAATGTTTAAACTTAATTAAAACAATGTAAGTTTAACAGCAATCATGTATTTCAAAGTAATAACTTAAACATAAACTTTATCTCAAAATTTTAAAATGATAACAACAATTACAGTTTGTTTTTCATCTACCAACAAATAAAGATTTTGAGGTGATCCCCCCCCCCCCCCCTTGAACACTCTACATCTCACTAACCATACAGAAAAACATGGTTGTTTGAGAAACAGTCCAACAACTTTCATACTTTGATCTTGAATCCCTTTAGAATATCCAACATTGTCTAAAGCGTCAACCTGCCAAGATTGTTCGAGATTGACACAATAGGCTGGGAGTAATTAACCAACAGGCTTTACGACATAGAAATAGGGTTAAGTTCGATTTTGACCCCCCTTAG